GTATTGTAAATCAACATCAGGATATACTGGTAAAAACTATTGTATTCTAAATCAACAACAGGATATACTGGTAAAAACTATTGTATTCTAAATCAACAACAATGATATACTGGTAAAAACTATTGTATTCTAAATCAACAACGGGATATACTGGTAAAAACTATTGTATTCTAAATCAACAACGGGATATACTGGTAAAAACTATTGTATTCTAAGTCTAAGACAGAATATATTGAAAAAGAACTATAACAGACACACAGTAAAAACTGAGGAGAAAATTATGATCATCCACTGATACTCAGTAAAAACTGAGGAGAAAAGTGGGATCAATCATTGATACTCAGTAAAAACTGAGGAGAAAAGTGGGATCAATCATTGATACTCAGTAAAAACTGAGGAGAAAAGTGAGGTCAATCATTGATACTCAGTAAAAACTGAGGAGAAAAGTGGGATCAATCATTGATCCTCAGTAAAAACTCACGAGAAAAGTGAGGTCAATCATTGATACTCAGTAAAAACTGAGGAGAAAAGTGAGGTCAATCATTGATACTCAGTAAAAACTGAGGAGAAACATTAAGGAATCAGTAAAGGACCGGAAACTCTGGAAGAGATGAGGAACGAGAAAGTTGGTTATGCTTTTCTTAAGCCTATCATACCATTTGAAAAGTATGAACAAATATTTTAGCCATGCATCTTATTATAATGGAGCTTGCGATGTATACGCCCAAAACTTGGATCTCAGAAACTACCGCACTAATCATCACCAATTATAACTGGGTAATATTTTTATAACTAGGCAGTATTTTTATAGGTGAGCAATAAATAAATCAATTGAAATGTCCACAAAAATGATATGTTTAAGATTTAACCAACAAAAATAACAAAAAAGGCGTAAGTTTCAAACATAAAACAATCAACAAATTATTTGTTTTTCTTTAGTAAAAATCCCATGAGTGTTGTAACAGAAAAGCAAGGAACTTTCATTGATAACTGTGTCTACAAAGAAACGCTTCAATAAAATCTACTCTGTGATGTAATGCTGTGATAATAGCTCATTTTTAAACTAAAATTTCAATAAAATCCTTTTTCTCGTGGATGGTAAACATTATTGAATGTCAAGTATGAGAACACTGTTGTAGAACTGTCAGACAATTCCAGAAAAGGTTGTAGGCCCAATAGCCTTCAGCAGGAACTAGCAGTTATTTCTGCTAGTTGACTATAATATTGTTATAAAACTAGCCTAATTGTTTACTGTTGATTTGATCTTTCTAGCATTATGTTAACGATCTCCAATATGGCGTGCTATGTTTCTTGACCTTGTAACATTTATTTTATATTAGATTATTAGGCTTCAGGCTTATTGTTGCAAAGAAAACTTAAGGCACGTTCTTGTTTTTCGTTGTTGCTAGGCGACTTGTAATTCGAATTATTCCGTTAAATCCTGTTGTTTACTAAATGTCTCGCACCTGGAAGGCTTAAGTAACTGAGCCGAAAACGTGTGCATTAAAAAAACACCTAAAAACACGTGATGATAATACACTAAAACAACAGCCTGTTGTCAGTCTGAGTGATAAGGTTTTTATTAGTTTGAATAACACTTATCGTTAGGTTTAAGTTTTGCTCAAACTCCTGACAGTGTACCCTACTCGGATATTATTACTGCTACACAAGAAGTTGCCAGTCATTTAGAAAAACCTGCTGATACCGAAGTTTGTTTCAAGATCAAGGAAGCCATTAAAAAAAAATGTTTAGGGTTATCTTCCCATCATTGTTCTCCTCCCACATACCTATCAACGGTTATCTTCCCATCATTGTTCGCCTCCCAGATACCTATCAACGGTTATCTTCCCATCATTGTTCTCCTCCCAGATACCTATC